CGCGAATGGGGGTAGGGAGCGTGAGATCGATAGGCGGATCGGTGCGGCGTCTGCAGTAATGCGGGCGCTGTACCGGTCTGTCGTGATGAAGAGAGAGCTGAGCCTAAAAGCGAAGCTCTCAATTTATCGGTCGATCTACGTTCCCACCCTTGTCTATGGTCACGAACTTTGGGTAGTGACTGAAAGAACGAGATCGCGGATACAAGCGGCCGTAATGAGTTTCCTCCGCAGGGTGGCTGGGCTCTCCCTTAGAGATAGGGTGAGAAGCTCGGCCATCCGGGAGGGGCTCGGAGTAGAGCCGCTGCTCCTCCACGTGGAGAGGAGCCAGTTGAGGTGGCTCGGGCATCTGTTTAGGATGCCTCCTGGTCGCCTCCCTGGGGAGGTGTTCCGGGCTCGTCCCACCGGAAGAAGGCCCAGAGGAAGACCCAGGACCCGCTGGAGGGACTATGTGTCCCGGCTGGCCTGGGAACGCCTCGGGATCCCCCCGGAGGAGCTGGCTGAAGTGGCCGGGGAGAGGGAAGTCTGGGTTTCCCTGCTCCGGCTGCTGCCCCCGCGACCCGACCCCGGATAAGCGGTGGATAATGGATGGATGGATGGATGATTGTAAATATCACCAAAATGGATCCCTCTTATGTGTGTATTGAACTGCACTCCCTTGCTTTTTTTTTAATATCCTTTTTATTTTTTTTGTTTGGTTGTGTGATTTCTGAGCAGGTGGATTCAGTGAGGAAATACACACACTAAAGCTCGTGTTGAAACTATGTTCACTGGTCTTGTTTCATTCTGCATAAGAGGGAAATGCAGAGACTGAAAGATGCTCGGTTTTCTCCTCCGCTGATAGAGCTCTGATCGAGTGTCACTCTCTTCACATGGCCTCAGGACATTTCAGAGCAGTAGGAGTCAAATATTGAGACCTCTCCTTTTAGCTCATCCCTCTCTTGGTAAATAAGGACCCCCCCACACACACACACCTGTAACCCCAGCCCTCATCCCTTAGTCTTGCACCACTTGTACAGGTGAATTTAAAAAAAAGTTGCTAAATGTGAAATGTTACTAAAGAAAAAAAACATAACAGTGGGTTTTAAAGTTTTTTGACTAGTTTTATTAGATGTTTTAGCATTGTGTTGAACTCATCTTTATCTTTTTTTTGTGAGGGGAAAAAAAATTTGTTGAGATACTTTTGTTTTGTTTTTCACTGTAGCAAGATTTGCGTTGCATCAGAATGGTCATGGAGGTAGATGTTTTAATTTTGTGTATAAACCTGCCAAACATACTTCTTTATTTTGTAAAGCCAGTGACAAGAGAACCCATTTTGTTTTGTTAAATATCATTATGTTTTACAATTTGGTCATTCTATTTAATTTGGTTGCAGGTTTCACCTCTATTTATGAATTATATAAAGTAACATTTTGGCTTATTTTTATCAGTGTGCATTATTATGATTATTATTATTATTAAGATTATTATTATTATTATTATTATTATTATTGCTGATCCAACAGCATTATTATTAGAATAATAAATACTTTTTCTCAGTAATTGCTGTTGGTGCATTTCTCATGTACGTGTACCAACGTTAAATTCATTTTTGTTTCACAAATATTTCTTTTTGGTTTCTTTTGTCTGTAATAAAATGTTTAAAGTGGAAAATTGGACGGGCCTGTCTCCTCTCATTTTCACCATTGATTTGTCTTAACAATTCATCAGATTTTTGATAAGCAGTGTCAAGTAGCTACAGTTGCCTGTCAACACTCATGTGTCTGAGGTTAATGTGGAAGCCTGACTTCGATGTTGCTGGGGTTAATGTAACTGCTGTGGTGTGGATCATTAGCTGAGGAGTTTAGGCTTTACTTATTGTACTTTGACCTGTTTGCAGTGTTTCCATTTTGTTTTACCTTTTTTTCAAATGCAGCCCAGATCAATATAGTATATCAAGCAACATATATCTGGATGCTGGCCATGATTTAGGTGGAGGTGTGATGATGAAACTGAGTTGATGCAGCAGTGCACAGCCTTTCAGAGAATAACCTTATAAGAAAAAATAACTGCCTTTTACTTATGAATTTCACAGTTGGATTAAAGGTAGAATAGAAATGGAATCTATCATCCGATTCCTCTCTCTCCCTCCCATCCTGCTGTCTTTCTCAATGATTATGATGACACAGTGCCCCCTAGAGTCCATACACAAAACCACATTTATTTTGAGTTAATTTACCAACAGGGAAATCAGAATGGACTGGACAATGTTGTTTCCATCTCAATGTGTTATAGTGATTAAAAAAAGGTTCTACAAGAACGTTGTTACTACTCAAGAAGGAATCTTAATGAGGACTGTTAAATGCCAACTCTGGCCACTTTTAACTTGTGTTTTTTTATTTATTAGCAATCACACATAAATGAACATAATGAGTCTTTGATTTACAGGCTGTGAAAAAGTGGATATGCACATCTCCCCTTGTTATCTTAATAAGTCTTTTGACAAGCAGCATCGGTGAAGAAAGGAATGAGAGAACCATAGACCATCTACTGTCTTGCCTTCATCTGAAACATGGTCCTGTATCTCCACCTGCTGGCAATGCTGAAGTGTTCGCAAAGACTATAATACACACAAGTATTCATCGTCTTTTATTTGGATTGTTTTTGTGTATGTGTGTCCCAACCTATCATAAATTCTCATTGAAAAAGTCTAAAGCTTACTGCTTGGAAAGGGCAAAAATGTGTTAAAGATTCTAAAGAAAAAACTGTTTGTTGTTATTATTATGTTACTTTTAACACCCGCTTCTAGCTTACAGCCTACCTTGTTGAAAAAGGTGTCAAAATACTCTACATGCCCTACATGCAATATTGGTTTCTTGCCTGTCCAATCTCCCATCACTAATATTGTGTCCAGCAGCTCTGAAGCTAGTTCCATCAGCAGCCATCAGAGCCTCTCATTTCCTCTACAGACAGATATGAACTCCCCTGACAGTCTAGGTTTCAGGAGCATCATTGTCTGACAGGCTGCAAACAAGACAAGGCAAACAAAAAGAATGAGCCTTTCACACAGATCACTGCCCAAACACTTGATGGTGCAGAAGATAATGCAGCTGGACTGCATTTTGAGAAAATTGTGCTTGTGATATCCTCCTTTGGATCAAAGCTCTCTTGTGTTTTGGGATTGCTTACTATTATCTGCAGTTGGGCCGTAGCAGGCCTTTTTTAAAATCATGATAATATATTCAGTCGGTGCATTCACACGACGGAAAGATCAGACTTTAATCTTCGAGGGAAAAATATGTTTGCTGTCTGCTTTCATCAAACACCAAACAATCAAACTTTGAAGAAAATACTTTTTATTGTTACATGTACCTGCCATGGCCAGTGAGGTACAACAGTTTCAATAAGTACTCTCAATTTTAAGATTAAAAATAAAAGTTTTTTTACTTTCTCCGTAATTTCAACAAGCAAATATCATTACAGGAATCATGAACTCTAACATATAGATATTTTGTACATACACAAATACAGTATGCTGTATATAACATGAAAATAATTGATAAGGGCCTGAATTTGCGATTTATCATCAGCGGATGTCATCTGTTTTGTTCCAGACACATACTGTGTGCTGCTTGTTGTATTTAAATCAGATTACATTCCATTTTGGCCCAAAACAGCTACACGGTTATGCAGTGTATTGTTGTGCTTGAGAGTATCTAACATGGCAAATATATAACATTATAAATGCCTTTGGATAGCAATGCCATTGATTGTTTGTAAAGGGGATTCTCAAGGTGGCTAAATATCCATCTCTTTTTTTTGTTTAGTTTTAAATTCCCTTTTTCCATTAGAAAGTATCATGATTGAGGGCTTATTGTGTTCCCTGAAAAAGAAAACTCACATTTCATGTCCTATCACTGTATGCTACAGACAGAACCAACATCAAGGAGGTAATTTTCCTCCATGTTTTTTTCTTTCTTCTGCCATATGCCATCGTGAAGCACTCTGATAGATTAAACATTTTTGATGTTGGAGGAATGGCAACTGTCTTAATGTTTTATGCCTTAAGCCACCATATATTATAATCAAGCTTGAATGCGTGCCTTCCTTTGTCCAGTAAAATTTAGATTTACGACAAAAGTATCAACCTGACAACAGCCCGATGGTTTTGTCTTTTTTTTTTCCTGGGTTATTGCTGCCTGTATTTCTACATTTGCAACATTCATTTTGGTCTCAGAGTGTCATAAAAAAAAGAAATATCAGCACTGACACAGACAACAAACTTTTTCAACACAAACACTTCTACAACCACTACAGTGATGTCTGTACAGGTATTCTGCTTCTTGTAGATACGTCTAGAGAACAGAGGTGCTGGTTTCCATCGCCATTTCATCATGTGCACGTTAAACTAACATGGTCTTACAGATGGAATGAAATGATACAAGAAACAGACCTGTCTGACAGCAGCTATGCTAAGCTGACATTTCAAATGTCATTCTATCTCCCTTTAGTCAGTGCTTTCAGATAAGTCCTGCAGATTCATCTTAGAAATGTATTTAAAAAATTACAAAATTGTAAATTGTTACTTAAAAAATATTACCATGGGTATAACGTAGTCAGTTGTGCTACCATAATCATATGCTGACAATTTTACACTATCAGATGAGTTAAGATATTAGAAATTATGGCATGTTTTCAGTTTAACGTCAGCTTCAAAGTGTTAACTGCCTGTAAACTCTATAGTTTAGTTTGGTTGTTAGTTGACCTAGAAAAAAAACAGTAGAACTAAACTAAAAGAACTTAAAGAAAAGGCAGTCATCTTTTTCTTAGACTGCTCATGAGTTTACTTTCGGGTGAGCAGTAAACCTGCAGGCCAGTGTTAATTCTGCACTATACTAATAAACCATCCTGTGCCTGTAGCTGTTATTCATACTTTAGACATTTTAAACACATAGGAGTGGCCATGAAATAAAAACAGACCCTGCTTTTCGGCTTGTCCGGCCCCTCTTGTAAAACATGAAATTCTTCCACAGTTACATTGTTAAATAAAGAAAAAAGAAAATCACAGGTGAATTCATGTAAACACTCAAAAATGACTCAGTCTGCCATCTGGTCCAGTTTCTCCAGCATTACTCAGTCGCCTCACGTTGCTCCTTCTCCTCAGGAACAGCCATAAAGATCTTCTGGCAGAACATCGTGAAGATTTCTGAGGAGAAACAGCTCATCTTAATAGCTATTTTTCTTTTACTGGGTCACTACAGATCAAATGTCAGATTTCATCCAACAGTTAATCAAAACCTTCCCCTCTACGCCAAGAATGTAAACAAATGAAATACACCAGTGTCCACAGGTGTACTCGGGGAGATATCTCGCAAGAACTTCATAACAAAGAAACGCTTCTCCTGTCTCGCCTGAGCAAACAGACAAAGACGCTTTTGAAAATAAGCAAACCCAGCGCCTCACTCACCCAGCATCTTTTGGACCATATGTGGTTTCTTCCACTTGTAGCCCAGTAGATATGCAGGGATGCCCGTGAGAATGATGCCGCTGCCCACCAGGCACTCAAATGGAGCTGCCCAAAAGGACACCACGATCATGAAGACGCAGCCCAACACAAAAGTGATAGGAATGAACAGATACACCTGCAGAAACAAGACAAAAGCAGAAATTGTTCACTCCAGTTATCTGAGATGAAAGACCATTCCTTATTGGCTTGTGGGTATACACTGTATAGCATTCTACATCATCTTAAACCCTAGGTTGTGGTATCATGACAAGATGTGACAAAAGAAAAGAACAGACAGGGACATCTTTATCTGAAATGTGCACAATTTCTTTAACAGTGCAGCAGATTATTATGATTCCACAACAAATCAGTCATAACAACTTCAACATCAGACTATAGATCTGTGGAAAAATTGCGGGCTCCCCTGTGTTATCTGAGTTGTGCGGTTCTGCAACCACAACCGGATGTCTGCTGTTTTTTGTTGAGCACGTCACTTAAACATTAAAGTTATGTGCAATGTCAATACTGTGCTTGTATTTTTCAGCATGACATAAATGATTCTTTCAGCCATTTGGATGATAACATTGGCTAAATGGTTTTATTTTCTTCAACTTCCCAGTTATTTTTTTTAACTTATTTATTCAAATTCAAGCTATCACTCATAGAAATCCAGGTTTTTCCTTTGCCGTTGCCCATATTTCATCATGTTTTGGTGGAGTTTTGCAGGATCAGATTTCTACACTATGCTCGGCTGTGAATACAAATGTTCATCAGAAGTAAAAAGATACTGTAGTTACCATCATTAGTTCATAAAAAGTACAAAAGATTGAGTCTTTGTCTGAATTCCGACTCAGGCAACCAAAAATCGTTGCTCGTAAATGTTGCGTATGAAGTCGACATGCCTGTTTTCTTACTTGTAAGTTGTTTATTTTATAGAATGTGATTATAAATGGGTTGACGAAAGCCCTGGTTCAAAGGAGAGTTGAAAGATTGTGGTCAACCAAGATAATATTCCTATGATGAAAGCGAAACAGCATTCATTCGAACACCACTCCCACCATCACAGAAAAACAGTATGGTTCCACTTCCAACTAATAACAACAGTAATACAATGGCGCTTTCATTAAAAACAAATAAATTACCAAAATAGATGCTTTATGTAACTCGCGGACATGTTGATGGTTTTTATTCAGACAAAGAAACTGGCCAGGTTCAGCTGGACCCAGGGCTGGCAATGTGTGAGCCTCACATCCTCTTAGACTTGAGGGATCTAACGCGTCGAAAGGTAACTATTTACCACCAGACTTTACCTTTATCGGCCTTCTGAGGTCAGGCTTGGTCAACCGTAGCCACACCAAGCCGGCTATGGCCATACCGACACACAGCCAGGTGAAGAAGCTGAACAGATTGATGACAGAGAAGATGTCCTTTGAGATGGCATACATCATGGACAGGAAACACTGACGCAGAGGAGAAAGAACATTGTTTTTAGTGTGTGACATAAATCTAGTGAAACCACAATATGACACTGTGTCGACCAAATAAAAAGATACATAACTCTATGGAAGCCAGTCATTTATTCACAGTGAAACAGAGACCATAGTAAATGTATTTTCTATTTGTTTGTATTGTAGTCTTTTTTGTCTGTCTATAGTTCAATTCATGGTTCATCTTTAATTTTTCTTACAGTTAATCTTCCCTCAGTTGTGTTTTGTGTCCTGTTCCACATTTTCACCTCAGTTTTGCTCAGTTTTCTCCTACAGGAACTCCACTGCCACACCTGTCCAGTGTCCTCAGCTGCATCCGTCATCACTTTTCTCACAGTATTTAAGCTCTCTGGTTTCTCTCTTTGTGTCTGTCAGACTCTCGCTGTTACTGCACCATTGTTTCTGTGGGTGTGTTTTTAGTTAATTTTCCTTCATGTAGTCAGGTTTCCAAAGATTGCTTTTGGGGTGTTTCCGGTTCGAGTTTGAAAATAATAATGTTTTTTTCATCTGCTATGTGCATTTACATCCTCTCCTCTTCACGGGCCTGACAGCCTCGCCCCAGAACCTCTGTGTATTTTCATGATTTCCATGACTGTAGATGATGGAATATTTATAGTCATCACAGTTTTACACTGACTGAGATTCCAATTTATGGACACATTTTTTTGCCACTTGGGGAACTTTTGCTTCTCTTTAGTTATCAGAAATGCTTTATATACCCAAATGAGTTACTGTGTTGCTAACTTGCAACAATGCATTCCCCTAGGCTCTTTCTTTATAGTGGCACTTAAATTATTTCTCCTGTCTTTGTTGGCCCTATGCTGAGCCCAGCAGTCACTGCCACTAAATCCAGTATGAGCCGATTTTTTTTATTTGTCTATCTTATCCATATTTTCCACAGCATTATTAGAACTGGGGTTGTCCATAAACACACCAGTCTATTTGTGTTAAAAGATGACATTTGGGAACTACTTTTAAACATTAGTAGAACACCCGAATGGCTGAGGCCTGCTCTAACACAAGTGGTGAAATCATCTGTATGAAAAACCGGAATTCTCACAGTGAATATGAGGGATGGCACAGGCGTGAACAGGTCTGTGTGAACCAGTCCCAAAGCTGCGGGAAGTTGACCCTCTCGAGCCCCTGCGTAGAACAAGCTAGAAGAGAAACAGTTGGTTACTTTCCACTGAAACATTTGGCCTACATACAGTTTCCACCCAATAACAAGGCCAGATCATGGAACAACTCCACCCCCACCCCCACCCCACACCCCTCCAACTTATGTAGCACAAATTCATGTCAGTGTCTTGTTTTGCTCACCGTGCTGAAGTGAAGAGAGATCCGTTGACGGCTCCAAAGCAAGATAGTCCAACAAAGACAGGGATTAGCCAGGCCATCACCCCCAGATGATACTCCCCAAAACTCTGCAAAACAGCAACCGTGAAGGCAGGTCACATTTCAAAGCTAAACCCTCTACTCAAAATAAAGGTGAAGATGTTACACTCACCACAGCGACGGCCTCCGAATCCACCATGGCTTGAGGAGAGATGGTGGTAAAGTAGGCCAGGTTGGTCAGAACATACACTATTGTCACTATAGGCATAGATATGATAATGGCCAGTGGTAGGTTCCTGTGAAGAAGAGCGCAAAGATTGTTTAGAGAAACAACATCCTGATACCATAACTTCAATGTAATGTTAAGATCAGTGAAAACTGAAAATGTGCACCATTGTGCAGCCAAAATAAACACGATCGCTCAACAAAATATCTGTTTGGTGAGACAGACATGCTCGATTACGTCAATCAAAAACATAAAAGTCAAAATGTAGGTCTCACGGTGTCCTGTAAGGAAAGGAAGTGACCGTTATCTGGAGCCATCTGTTGCAAACAGCTCTTGACCTTATGTCGCTTTTTATGCTTTATCTGCCTGCTGTTAACGGACTACAGATGAGTCATTTTTTGGATGAGTCATGCCACTGCCATATAGTTACAGGAAATTGCGAAATCAACCTTCATCACATTTACGTCACCTCTCTGGATCGATCATCTCCTCAGTTACATAGTTCAGGTAATTCCTGGAAAGGAAAACAAAAGTTAAACAAATTTAAGAGATTGGGTGAAATCTGGAATTATTGTAAATTATGCTGGACAAGCAAAGTTGCCAGATGTCAGCTATGAGGAAATTACTTAATTATTTCTGACATCGAAATAGCCACAAATGCCTCACCAGCCGCCGAAAGCAAAGAGGCCGCTGTACAGCGCCAAGACAATGTTGTCCACTCCGAATTTGCTGCCTTCAAAAGCATTTTCTGGTAACAGATATGGGATGTCACCTGCACACATACAGAGGAGAAGAGTTGAAAAAGGAAGACAACTTTTCTAAGAAAATTTTCTTCATGGCAAAGTCACGTAGTTAGACATAGAGCTGATTTTCTCTCAGAGTTTGGATGCCAGCCTGCTGCTGCCTGACCTCTGACATGCATGACCTATACAGCCAGCAGTTAACTACCAGAACCTCTTTTTGAAGTGGAGGAATGACATCAGCTCCAACCCTGGCTGGCATTGAAATCTAAAAAGAAATAGAACTTTGATAAGCTAACTTTAACCCACTGATTTCACCAAAGCAGCCAATAAACTCAGTGACTCTCACAAGAATCTGTGTGGCTCTGCTCTACCTGTGCCTTTCAAATGGTAATGACTCTTCTTTCAGAGAAGCTTGTTACACACTCCTTACTTCATCACTCTGTCGCTCCCTCTCACACACACACACACACACACACACCCACAGTGTGACAACAGCCGGCAAGCTTCGCCGCCTAGTTACCATGGTAACGTGTTGAGGGGCACAATGGTGCTGGGCGGCGCCTTCCTAGAGGAGGGGCAGGAGCAGATGTAGCATGGAGCGTTTGAGGACCACGCTGTCCTCCCGCGCTGTTTCTCTCTTTTTTTTTTTTTTTTATATTATTCTGAATGGCACGACCTCCTGATTCATTTCAGTTTTAAAAAAGACAAACGCTGGATCCAATTTGATTTGAAATGCACATGAGATATATGTCCAGGGCACTCACACGGAATGTCTAAAAATGTTTTATCATGTAAAACACAGAAGAGATGAGACGTTCACAAAAGTGAAAAAAAGTGGACGGAGTGTTCAGACCCAGCGTACGCCCACATGGACGCACACGCACATGGCTGCACAGCCGGACTCTATCACACTGCTGCAGACAGACAGGCCTTGTGTTCAGACTCAGCAACTATGCCCACAAACTGAAAGGGATGCAGCCTGCTTCATTAGGCTCATTAGCCATGGTCAACAATTTCTTGATCATTAGAGACAAAAGGAAATAAACTGTCTTTACTGTACGTGGAAATAGAAGAGGTAAAGACGGTTCGACTTATATAAGAACATAATGAGATAAAAGCCATGAAGGAGAAGAGTGCTTTCCTTTAAAGCGCGCCCTTTAATCACCGTCATTATCGCAATTTAAATAAAGGAAAACAAAAGTGAAAACATTGGCTAAAGATACTAAGGATAGCTGCAAACAAAGAAACCTTCTTGTAACAGAAGGGTATTTTCTAGAGAGAGTTTTAAGGACTTTAACTGATCCTCAAAGTAACCTGCAGATTTTTAGGTTTAAGGTGGACGCCTCATCACTGAACAAAAAGAGAACAAGTTTTAGCCCTGAAACAGATGAGTGGGCAGTGTGCAGTGGTAGTCATGCCACTCAAAAAAGTTACTTTTTCATAAGTAAGTGGCTCTCACCTGTGGAAATCTGAATGAAACCAAAGAGAATTATGATGATCAGAGCTAGCAGCTTGGAGGCTGTGAACAGGTCCTGGACTTTGGTGGCTGCCCTCACACTGATGCAGTTTACAAACGTCAGGGAAGCTGGAGATGGAGATAGAAAATGGACAAAAATTGGGGATTTTGTGAGTGCTTTCCAGTTATCAGCTGCACATTTGAAAGGGCGTAATGTAACCCCAGCAACCAGGTTTACTCACTGAGACACAGGCAGGCGATCAGCTTGGCAGCGCTGTCTGGCACGGTGCAGGTCGGGTACAGAGGTTTCAGGAGGTAGGTGGCAAACACCAGAGAAACCACATACTGAGACGACGGCCGAATGATCAGCATCTCCACCCACAGCTTCAGAAAAGCTGCCAGTTCACCGTACACTTCCAGGATGTAGGTGTAGTCTCCCCCAGACTTAGCGATGGTTGTGCCCAGCTCAGCGTAGCACAAGGCACCCATGGTAGACACCACTCCGCACGCAGACCAGACGATCAGGGAGAGGCCAGCCGAGCCCGTCTCCTTGACTACACCTGTTGGAGTGACAAAGATTCCCGAGCCAATGATGGTTCCTATGATCATCCCAATCCCGTTGAAGAGGGTGATGCTGCGTTTGAGCACAATCTTTTCCCCCTTGCCGGGCTGGCCGGTCGTGGCATCCGGGGCAGCCTCCGTGTGCGTCGGCGGTGAGGCCGGCCGCTCCTCGATGAGACCATCGTGGTCAGTTCCTGATGGAGACACGACAGCAGGCCATCGCATCAAAGCGGCATAGCTTCCCGTGTGGGGTTTGAGTGCTGAACGTTACAAACGAAGAAAGTTTCCTGCTGAGATGATAAACAGTTTGTTTTGAAGCAGAGGAAATAAAAGAAAGATGGATAAATACAAAGATGTTGGCCTGTGTGTGTAAATGCCAACTGTTGGAAGAGGCTGTGTCTCTGTTCTGTATCAGTTTAGTTTCATTCCTGACAGACACACCTGTAACCGTCACACACCCGAATCAGCACAGAGCATCACAACAGCCACATTTGCATTTCCACTCTTGCATCAGGCGACGTTGCATCAGCGCATGTGGTGGGATAACGCAGCTCTGCACCATGTGGTGCTCACCAGAGGGCCAGCGTGTACTGTACATACCCCCCATCTTCTCTTGGCTCGCCGCCTTGGCAACACTCTCCCGACTGCCTCTCGATTTCAGCTCCGGCTCAGCCATCTTCCCTCTCAGTGCGGGCTCTCTTGTCTTGTATTTTACCTTGTGCACCCCTTCTCTCTCCTCTCCTCGCGTCCCCCTCCCGCCTGCCTTACTCACTGCCTCCCTTTTCTCCTCATACACACATGAACACACACTGCTCCTCTCTGATCCTCTCTGATTTGCCCTTCCTCACACACATGCACACATACTCGTATTTTCATTCGCACACACACCGCCACCGTCACTCAGACTGGAATTCATCTGACCCTGATCCTCTCCCTCCCTCCAGCATACAGCAGGGAGGAGCCGAACCTTTGTGATGCTGCCGCTGCGTGCGCCTACGCCCAGGCAGAGGGAATTGTGGGATAGCTGGGAGAATGTGGCAGGCTACTACGAGCCACCATTTGGAGGGTCCACCATGTGATGCAATAATCTTTCTGTGTGCAGCCTAATCCTGTGGACTACAGTCTGTCATGTCAGGAGGTATTAGGGTGGATGCTGCGGGGATGGTGCTCCCTCTAGCGGTGTCACGGTGTTAGAGGCGGTATCATTGTTCTCACAGAAAGGTGAGACTATAGAAAATGGACACCCACAGACCATTTCAGTACACGCATTCCACTATAATAATGACAATGCACGTTAAGCTTCTGGGTCCTCTTTTGTATATGCTTCGACTGTATAGCCTACATTTATAAAGAGAGGGTTAAAATATGTCAAACCACAATGACAAGTTACTGACCATATTCAACCGTAATAGTCAATAAAGAGGGGGGACTTACTCCTCCTGGCAGATGGACGGGTTGCACTTCATACAATTCGCCGAAAGATGGAGACCTAAACACGGCCTAAACTCTGAGCGAAGCTCAAGGTGCAAAGTTGTCCTATTCCAGGTATAAATCATAATTTCACTCTCATTCGTCACTGTGGTGACACCAGCTGTGAGAAAATACGCCGCGTGTGTCTTTGGTGATGTTTTCATCAGACCAAAACACGGAACACAAGCTGGATAATTTTCTGTAAAAGTGTGACATTCGGAGAATGAGCCCCGTTCTGTTGAAGCGTGTAATGGCGCACGCTTGCATGACTATACGAGCTGACAAAGTCGACTAACGATGACCAAGCTCAGCTCCGAAGAACGTCTTAGCTAGTAACGGTGTAGCGTTAGTCGGAACTGGGTTCAACCAGGGCACTTTCTGCCACGGGTCCGGGGACTTTCCCCTGGGCAATGAGGGAGAAACTAAGTTCTCTGCTAGTAGCCCAGACTGCAAGCCTTCTGAATGCCCGGATGTTAGATGGCAGATGCCGGCTATATATACCCGGGCGCTGACGAAAGTTCCACGATCACGGTGTCTCACACACAGGAGTAGATGCACAACTACGAATGTGTTAAATAACTTTTAAAAGCAACTAACTCTGTTGTTAGTTACTAAACTATATGTTAGAACATACGCGTGTAAGATTCGATCGTCAGAACCGCGAGGGATCATGGGAGATAGGAAATCAGGCTAAAACCATATGCGTTCTTTTTTGGAAATAAACAAAATAATTTGGAAATTCGAAAATACATTTACGTCATTGTGTTAAATGCATTTTTATCAATCCGTGCAATTTTACAACCTAACATTTTCATTTAAACTGTGGAATTATATTTTATAGAAATTAAATGAATATCCATCTGAGTGTTACGCGTTAATACATTTGGTAATACATACGTTAAAACATTTAATATGTTTTATATACAATGGGTTCTCTTTTTTTATTGATTCATGTTTGTTCCTGCTTCTGTGTCCCTTTTCAATCCTGACGTAACGAGTCGTGATGACAGACTTTTCCCATCATGCATTGCATTCGAGTGAATAGCAACATCTTTTAAACCATTTCAAACGTCATACTACTTAATTGAGACAGGATTTCCACCACATATAAATAAAGCATTTCATTAGTTTCTCCTCTGTTAATTAGGAAAATTTTGCCTGCAACCATAACAGACTCTACTTACACGCACACTGCTGCTATATATGCCTCGTTACACACACTTCCTGGTGTGAGAGGAAGCTCATTGTAGAGGTCACGCACAGAGTGCATGTCACTCCGCATATACCTCGGGGAAGGTCTGAGACAAGAGCCAATGGTTACCCTTGCAGGGTATCACCTGATGAGGGTGAGCGAGTGAACAGAAAAGTCGGGCCAACGCGTGCTGTCTGAACAGGAGAAGCTAGAGGGGGCAGTTTCTCAGCCCCCCTAGTGGATGTGCAGCACGCTGGTTTGGAATCACTCGCGGCTGGCAATTGAGTCCGATGTATGAGGTGGGGCACAGCTCCAGAACCCAATTCAGACTACTCTCCTCTCACATTTTGCTTTTTTGTTTTAGATTTTTTTATTTTTTAATGAAAAGTTGCAATTCAGCATCACTATCATGAGAGAGAAGGAACAATGAACCTTTCTGCAATTGAAATTCATATCTTATATGAATATGCCCTTTTTCCCCACTAACAATAATATAAGGAGCTTATCTCACAAGTTATGTCTTGTTCTACAACATTACTACCAATGTGAAACTTTCTACTTATTTGGAGAAAGACATTTGTTTCTTTAGGATATTTTCACATCTGATCCCTACATATCACAAGTGTTTAACCTCATCCGTTACTGTTTGCCTTTGGACCAATTTCCCAAATGGGTGTTCTGGGTTTTTTAAAGCCTCTCCCCATAGATTGTTGGATAAGATGTTGCAACATCAACTCCAATCTGAATTAGTTTGAATGGTTTTTCAGTTTTAGTTTATTATAAAATCCTCTATGATTCATGATAACTGATTAATTTGTTGAGGTCATGGTAAAAAACACAGATGGAGTGGCATAGTTGCAAAACTTAAAAATGAAAATGTGACTGAAATGTGGACACCTCGCAGCCTTTCATAACCTGCCTGACTGTAAGGTAAATCTTAACAGAGACATGCTTTTTTGTATTTTTTTAAACCTTTCTAAATAATTTTCACAAAAGCTATATAATGTTTTTAACATCTGTGCTCTATTTTTTGCAAAACCAATTTTCCTTTGAGGTGCAGTAATCTCTAATCATCCATTTAATGCCCTGTTCTCACATCATTTCGTTACATAACTGCAGCTTTTGAAATATTTTCGACTAATTTGGCATTGAATGCGAGTTAGACAAATCTGCAGTGTGCTTTTGTCTGAATGACGATTCAATCTGGGCCACCAAATGTAGTCGTGATTCTTCAGTCGGGCTCTGCGTGCTATCCTGTTTGTTACTCTGCTGACAGCTAAATGTGTGACATGAGCAGTGTGCTTATTTGCACATAGAGGGGACGACTGAGATACACAAAACCAAGTGTGAACACACACTCAGATGTGTCCTCTTGTGACCCAATTAAGCAGGATGTTCAATGACATTAAACGTGAGCAGGCTCTAAACCTTCAAGTCCAAAGTAGAGCCCCCCTGCTGCCCCTCTCTAAAATGTTTGTACTAGTTAAGCTTCACAAATGTGTTCAGTGAGAATAATAAACACTGTGTACTTGATTGCTAAAAAATGTTTTCTTTTTGGTATAGTCGTCACGTGTACTGCCACCTTCCCTGCTTTATCATGTACTCAGATATTCTAAAAGTTTCTTGTCCTCATCATATATTCCTTCATATTCTTCTTCTCTCACACTCTTTTTATCTTATGGTGCCACTTTCTCCTCTCGTGGGAATACAGTTTCCTTTTTCCATGAGTCATTGACATTTCTTAGTGTCCTATTTTTTTCTTTTCATCTTCATAAGCCTCAATCCAACAGAAATTCTCCCTTTTGCCCAGATAAACCTGTGTCCACCTTTGCAAGATTAAGTTTTAAATTGGGTTTCATTTTACGCCTTCCTGCTTTTCATGTCATTTCCTCATGTCATTCTCTGTCCTTATTATTTCTCTTTGGGCTTTTGGATCCCTGTCCTCTTGAATGACTTCACTGATTGGAGGTTGTTATTTTGTCAGAAGAATTAACCAGCCTGTGACTGAATATTTTACAGATATCCTCCGAAGGAAATTTTTTTCAGTAATAAAGAAATACATTTGAACTAATATAATATAATATAATATAATATAATATAATATAATATAATATA